AAATGACTCTATGCAAACAGTTTCTTTGAAATATGTCATGTTAGAGTATAATTGCAGCGATACGAGGCTTGAATATAATGTAAATTGAATATTTTATACCATTTTGTTATTCAATCTGGTTTATAGACAAAGATTTCTAACCTCATTGTTATTGCAAATTGACAGATAACTTTGTAAGATTTATATGAATCTCAGTATGTAGCTACAATAACTTATTGTTGATTATCAATTGTCTTTATATAAATAAAACAATACTTAAGTTATAAAAATCATTAATGATATCTGTATTTTTTTTTGTAAGTTTGGTTATTGTAGTGGTATGTTTATTTCTTCGTTTGTAATAAATGAATTGAAATTATACTTGATCGGTTTCAATCATGCTTTCACCCATAGATGGTTACATTCTTAAAGGAGTAACGTAGGATATAATTTGCGCGAACAGCATGGCAGGATAGTGCAGTAAAGATTACTTTAGTAAAACTATTATTTTATACGGTAGAAAAATAAACTACCGTAGAACGTCCATAACGTAGTAATCACCTGCTTTGAATGTTGTTTCAGTGCTAATTTACATTTCGCAGTTTCATGACGGAGTCGTTGAACCCGTTGGTTAGAAATTCTTTACCAAACAATTGGTATGTATTTATTTTCAAACAAGTTATATGTAACATTATTAAAAATTGATATTTGGCACATTGCCCGTACTGAGTTCGATTACCGATCTATAGAATGTGAAAGTATAAAACAAAAGACGTTGTTTACTCTTAAAATTTGAAGTCTTTAAACCCACTTGTTAGTTAGGTCAGGTTTTGAATTAGGCCAACGATAAAACAAATGGATCTTCAATATATTATTGCGTTAAAGAAATATCAAATCGTATGGCCACAGAATGGCATCTTTTGTTGTAATTTTATCATAAAATGTAATCTACATAGAAAATACAAAAATCTACAAATGAGTACTAAAAAGATCTACAATCTACAACACTAAATTACCTAATAGATTATAACAAATAAAACAGAAAACGTATTTGTAATTTTTATCAAACAACTTACTATGAACTGAGCATAAAGTAATCAATGGCCATTGTTGCAATATATCTGTAGTATAATCTAAATTTGTTATTTCCTTAATGTACCTAACTAAAGAACTTCATCTTGTAATTATCTAGTCTTTAATGTTCTTAATATAAAACATATAAAAACACACATTTTAATTAGGTATCTATACAAACAACTCAAACAGTAAGTGTAAAAGTAACGAAATAAACAGTAAGTGTTAAATTGAAATTTCGTAATCGTATAAAGTATTAGACGAGATAGGCGTGTCTGAGGTAATGTCTGTCACGTTAGGGGACAGATATTAAGAAAAATAGAAAGAAGAATCTGGTATGAAATTTATTACAAATACAATGCCTTCAAATATAGTATCCTCAAGGGAATCTGTCTGAGAAATCTGGGAATCGGTTTTAAGAACGGCCACCATATACTCGCATTATTTTAACAAATATAGGTGTAAGCACATAAATTTTACTGATGAATGATATTTAAGTGTACTTACCTATATTATAGATATAGGTAAGTACACATAAATATGTATAAATATGTACTCAGGGTAATTCATATTTGAAACTGCTCTTACATTGTTGTGGCCATAGGAAACTCCTATACACCAATGTAGAGCAAGTCCATGAATCACGCTTAATACGTTTCAGTGTAATTCCACATTAAACACGGTTCAAATATGCTAGCTAAATAGAAAATGTTAAGTACATGAAAATGTTTTACTGCTCGTTGTCTGTCAACACCAATAAAGATTATAGTTTTATGACGGTAACTTATCATAGAATTTCTTGCGAAATTTCTTCGAAACTTTATTATTATTCCACGTAACTTCGTATTACTCTTATGAAATGAGTACATAATTGTGTATGACGTACTTTTTTTTTTCATTAATGCTAATGGAATGGTAACACAACTACGCTGGCGAGACACCAATGGAGGATGCTAAGATGTGTACTAATTGTAATAATCTGAAGTACCTAATTAAAATATAATGAATTACTCTTCATTTTATTATATAAAACACAGGCGACGGGGATTGCTATGGCTTAATGTAACCAAAGTTTTAATTTCCGTTATGACCAAGTAAACTGTATTTATAAAAAATCTATTTCAAATCTACTTTACTTTTAGACCTACTATTACAGACGCTTACGTAAGTTAAATCTACCATCACTTGAATTATAAGCCGGAACGAATTGATTAGTATCTTAATCTCTTTCAAATGAGTTTGATTAATTAATAAAAAAGTCTAAACATTCGGAAATCGTTGCTATTTTCGACAATTAATATATTGGTAGGTTGTAGAATATTATTGTTTATTAAAAAGAAGATAGCATGGTACCTTCTATTCGTATGAAATATACTAATTATTTACTGTTATATGTATGTTTGCTTATTAACATATATTATGTTTTCCTTACTCCTCATGTTATACTTGTTTATTTTCCATCACATGTTACTGTATCGTTTACTTGTAGAAAGATAAAAAACTTGTTCTAAAGTATTTCTTATCATTACATAGTATAAAACAAAGTCGCTTTCGAGGTCTGTCCCTATGTATGCTTAAATATTTAAAACTACGCAACGCATTTTGAAGCGGTTTTTTTAAATAGATAGAGTGATTTAAGAGGAAGTTTTATATATATAATACATGCACACCCATGCGAAGCCTGGTCGAGTAGGTAGTTTTATTATAAATCTATAAAATAAGTAAATATCTACTTAATTTATCTTTTCTTATCTCTTCTAGACCTATGCGTAATACACGTCGTTATTTTAAAACATTTTTTTCTACAATTTTATCACATGAACCCATTGTTTGAAAGCACAAAGGGCCGTTCACTTAACACTTCGTTACATAGCTTACTGGAGGAACTTTCTACGTGTCTGTATTGCAATTCTTATCCTATAACTATTGCGCTAAGGCAGTTTTTCTAAATACAAGCATTGGTTTTGATATAATGTTAATGCAATTACCTTTACACGACTTTGTATCACGCGTCGAAAATCACGACATTGTTTGCCCTACGTGATTTTGTTGTGAAATTGTTACGTATAAATAGTACCGCGTGAGAAATGTATTTATTAACACTGTTTAGTGGAACTTGAATAAAAGTCGAATCACGCTTTTATATAGCTGTGTAACGTTTTTAATGTGTACTTCATCTATGAGGAGTCTTGTTTTTCTTTATTTTCTGTCTGTTTGGGTGTATTTTAGTAAAAAAAAATTGTGTTCATTTTCAATATTGTCTTAGTCATAAACACCATGATATCTCAGAGATCTGCCTATAAAAATTATTAACGCGCTTGACATGTGCTTTTAATGTATGCTTAAGTGCTTAATATTTATGTACGTAACTGAAAACACATGTACAGGGCGATATTATTCACTACAATATCAGTACTCAGATATTTGTCTTGACTGATCGATACTGATCAATCAACGTACATTTATCGCAACGGTGAGAGTAGAAAAATAGTAAAAGACTAACCTAAAATCGACCAGTCAGGACAATTGTAATTCTAACATAAAATATTTTTTTATGTTTATGAATGACGAACAAGCTGACGACCCATTTTTTAAAGACATATGTATCTGTTAATATTTTGTACAATAAAGAAATAGAAACAAACAAACAAACAAACCCATCTGATGGTAAGTGGAAACCGTCGCTTATGTACGAAGACTCTTTACAATGTCTTGCTTGTTATTTTTTTAAACTGATGACTATTCAGTCGACGTTACTCCAGCCTAGTCGTTTAGGCTGTACGTTGATTAGTCAGGATAATAATATAAGTTTCAAATGATGGAACAATTATTTTAATGTTTGTTTCATTTTTGACAAATAATTTTGACTTTTTCTGTACAAGTTTAAATTAACTAACGAAATACTGTCATAGTGGAGTTCAGAGATAATCAAAAGGAATGAAAAACGTTTCCTGTAGATTTATCAATGTTTATTAAGACACTAGTCATTATTGTACTATTTAGAGATTCCACGACACAGTGGTTTTACATGGAGCGTAAAGTTGTATAAACACATCTAAGACAAGAAAAAATATTGTAAAACTTGAGCCAAGTGTGAGAAAAACGTGTAACAGTCGCAAATTTTATCAAATACATAATGTAGTCCACTATCCTACAATCAATAATGCAAAGACTGTAATTAAATGAAATCGTTAAGTACCTGGAAAATCGTCATTTCTAATTAATATTGTCAATAGTTAAGATACGCAGTTGATATATATAATTAATATTCGATTTCATATATATAGATATATATGTAATAAAAAAGCATTGTGATCCTTCATATACAGGTTTTCTAGAACAAGGTATTAATATGCGTAAAATAAAGCATCTACTTTAGTATCTATTTCTTAACCAATTATATCAATTTTTCACGAACACTTTACACTAATTACTGGACAGTGAATGTTTGTTGTCGAATGATTTAATAAAAAAGAAAGTTGTTTAAAGATCAAAAGTAATGCTCAACTGTCGCATTAAATTGTGTATCCATGTGATTTTTAGTTGATCCCAACTATTTTTACGCTTGTGAAGCAGTGCGTCAGTTGATATATAGAAGAGTTGACAGATAGCGATTGTGAAGACGCTTTCGCCTTCACCTTGGTTGAAGCACTGTTTAATATCACGACGGTTCCCATAGACAGCGCTTCTGACACCCGGACAAGATTCCAAAATAAACAACATCAAAATGACACACCACACCGGAGCGTATTTGTCGTTATTTATTTTTTCAATAAATTACTGGATAAAAATAACAAATATTTATTTTGGATATATCTAGAAGTGTTGTAGATTTTATTTACCTATCAATCAAATGCTTTGATCTGGTATCCTAGCTGCACTGAACCAAATAGAACATCATTCACCTTTCTAATGCGTCAAGAATACTTAAATGTAAAAAATCTTACGGATGGGTATCGTGTCTTTGTAGTGGTCGTGGTAACGGTCTCCACTGTTTCCACCGTTTCCACCACATCGTCGTCCTCGCCTGGCTTGTCGTCCCATGGTCCATAGAACTCCGTCATCTCTGCCGTCAAATCCTTTTCCACCCACAGCACTGGCCTCGCAAAGGCTTTTCACACACATTCACTGCACTGATTCTCTTCACAACCCTTCAGCGATAGCAATTATCACACAGGTTGTGCAAAACCTTTTCAGATATGAACGTCGTGGTGTCCTTTAATCGCATCAAATCTTTAGCCCATGACCACCTAACTGCACTAAGCAAGGGGTATTTGGCAATAGCAACGTTGGTAGCGTCTAAGAGACCGCTGCGCTGTGTACACGGCCAGAGTTGATCTTGTTTAAAATCCTACTGGAAAACTGAAATAACTGCGGCGAACAAAAAGCACCAGCCAAAACATTTCACGTGCGGGATTATTATTAGTTGGACGATCTAGCCGAAAGAGCTAAGTGTCGCTGCGACCTTTTGCTCAAATAATCCACATTGATACTGTTGCTTCCTGAATGTTATTCCTTCATTCTTATTTATCGTGGCGAACCTGAGCGTTTTTGCAAATTTATTGCGACGTAAATGGCTTCTAAACGTCACATATGCGCGTTTTGTTAAAATATAATCAACTGTTTAATTGTCTCGACAAATAGCATTGTTTTGTACTGAGCTTTTGTTTACCTGTATGTACGTTTTCATTAGGATACGTCAAATCATCGCATCCAGACAACCAGCTATATTAACAAAATCAACTACACATCAACTTTTTATGATATGAAATCAATGACAACTATTTTAAACGCAATAAAATATTTTCTAGAAACGATATTTAAATATGTGTTTTAATATTTCAAACATGACGAACGAATGTGCATGTAATTACACTTTTTATTTTGCGTGGGTCAAATGAAATTTATGATATTAAATAATTTATATGTGTACTTTTTTGTTAGTTACTGCTAACTGGAGTTCTAGAAGAATTTTTACTTTTAACTCATCAAATCAAGAATATATGACCAGGATAAATATAATTTGGAAATGTACAAAGATACTGGTCGTGTACAGTTATAAATTGGTGCAATATCCTGCCATAGCCTAAAGGGACACATTTTTTATAATCCATAGATTTTACATCATTCTATCAGTTCTAAATCAGAATTTATAAACTGTTTATCATATTAGAATATGTTTTATTATGTAAATAGAAAGATGTATTTACAGAATTACAGATATCTAATGTGGTACAACCACAAAAGACTATAAGTTCTCTGGGACAAAATATACTATTTAATAGTAATGTTGTATATATATTTGAAATTTGTTGTTATACATACAATATCTCTTTAACCTGTAACATATATATAATAAATATAGTATCCATTGAATTGATTAGTAATATAGTCTGATTGATTAAAAAATATCAATGTATGTATAATAACACAAAAAATCAAGAGTCGATTCAGAAAAGGGACTTGATCATCTATTACAACAATATATCTAATTTACAAATGTATAATATTTATGTATATTTAAGAATAATTCCATATATTCAGACCTTAATTACAAATGAATAACCGTGGACAACTAACATGGCGCCATCAATTCCCAAATTAGAGCTTGTACTATGGGTACTTTATAACTTAAATACATTTTTATATAAATACTTAGAACAACATCCAAACTATTACAAAGAGCATTACATGGGACTCGAACCCGCGACCACTAAAATCATCAAAATAATAGCAGTGACATAACCACAGTACGAGTATATGAGTAGCATAGGCATTAGGTCAATAATTACCCAAGGTAGAATTTGTAAGTCGTCTGCGTGAGTACCTCATCCTCAGTATTTCAGTCACCAAGCAGCTTGCTTTGGAACCTAAATTTCGATTGTAGGGTAACATTGAAAGAGGTATGACATCTTGATCCTCAGGAATGGCAACCCATTGGTGGCGTCGCGTGCATTACATGATATCGTGAGGTTAGGTCAAGTGTCTAGGCTATGGTTACCTCTCACCATCAGGTGGGCCGTTTCAATATTGTTTGCTAGTCCAATTTCAATAATAATTATTAAAAGTTTCCATGGAATTCAGTGTTGTATGTTGCCATCCAGAGGCGTTGTCGGCGTAGGCGCTGACAGCTCCTCCACTTAATATAAATACGCGGCTTTAACAACCCGCGATAAATCCGTACCACGCCTCGGGATTACCCATCGACTAGCTATTTTAACGGCTTATTGATAGAGTCCCCAATCGAATGCAATCACATCGTCAAGATAACGAGTTCCTGATCCGGTGCACGAAAGAGCAAAATTGCATCTACTATCTGAGCAGTAAAGTTGATTATCCCTCATTAAAGTTTATGGGTCATCTGCCATAATTTTAGTGATTTTTCATGATCAAGTAGGTAATTGGCAAGTAGAACGGAGAATCGTGCATGTAGCAGTTGTAGATAATCTTGTGTAGCATTTGCTATTGACCGTTGTAAAAGTTTATTATTATTGTGACCTTTTATACTTAAGTTCTCCTGGATAACTTTACTATAATGCTATATACTATATACTAATAGTATTATGCCTTCATGAGTTCCAAGACCTCAAGGACATTAGACCCAAGAGCTCTTGGATATCAACTCAAAGATCCTAATGGGTCGAATATTGACGATAGAGCCTTGTATATGACGTTGTGCCTCTAAATGCATAACAAAAGCCCACCATAAAAACATATTGTAGAATGCAAATCGGGCAGATTAGTACACCAGTAACGATTTACCGAGAAGATACGTACCCCGAAATCGCAAGTCACATCAATTGGCAAATATCGAAGTCGAGGTGAATATAAAACTTGACATACCAATATTTCGATGGGTATATTTTAATCTGGCACTACAGAGGGCGAGCTTATCACTTTTTCTCGAATTAACTTATGGATCCGCGGTCCACCACGGTCCACGGTCCACTCACGGGCCTAAGTCGGAGTATTACACAAAGCCACTACGCTATCATTTATTTAAAAAAATACAGTTAAGAAATGAAAGTATGGGAAAGTATCCCATATAAGTATCCAGTAATAACCCATGTTATACCTTTAAATAGCTTATTATACTTCAATCCGACAACTTCTGACAATGAATACTTACGTAGTACATGGTCCATGGTCAATTTTGTCAGTTCTTCCCAACTCTATGCATGGATGACGTGTCCAAGGCGACTTACCTGCAATCAACAATCCAAATTACACAAACCACAAGGAAACGCACAAATGTTTTGAATCAGAAATAGAATTATGACGGAGATTAATATAGCAAAGGAAGTTTGTTCCTGTATTTCGTGGTGTCATTCATCTCACTCAAATGATGTGTAGGTCGCTTTGTTTAGGATTACATTATTATTTTGAAGTATAAAAATACAATATTTATAAATTAGAAATATATAGTAGTCTGAAAAATTAAAATTAATTATTATTTTTCTGAATTCCATTTATATATATATATATATTTCTCAACATATTGTATTATTTTATTTCATTCTGCTACTAGCATGTGTACCACAAATAATTAGTGCGGAAACCTAACCACAGCTACCGGAAGTATTACGATCTGCCCAATAATGGCCAAATCGCAACCGTTATTGCTATATTTTGGATACATTACGAGATGTTTAAATACAAATTCGAATCGACAGTAACCCTAGCCTCACCTGAGAGGGGCGACGTGACCGTGACCCCCTATTTCCGCGCCACTAAAAATACCGACATCCATCTGTACATCCGCGGTTTTTGCATGGCATTATGCAATGCGCGCACGCAATGAGCTTTTGTTTACAACTAGACTAGATGAATATTTACAATGCATTTCTCGTCTCGATTCGATGAGCATATAAAACTGTATACGAGCTGTAGTCGATCGCATTTCCATAACCAATAACCATGTTTTGCATAATAAATATTGTTTTAAACCTTTTTATTGTCTTTTTTACATAATTGAACACATTAGGCAACGGGATATGTACTGTTATTCTTAGTCAATCTGGGACCAGTAGGTATGTTCATTTTTATATACTAACTAGCTGCCCCGCGAACTTTGTTCCGCCTCCTCCTTTATTTAATAAAATAATAGGTCTAAGGTTTTTGAAGTTTAGTTACGCTATAAATTTCTGAAGGCACTCTGTTTGACAGATACCACAGGTATTCTACGTATACACATACTATTTACCATGCAATTTCTTCATTTTCTCGCCACTTAAATCTTTCTTGAAGTTCTACATATATTTCAAAACCAAAATTACCCGTTCTCGAGTTTTAGCGAGACCAATTCATTTTATTCCTGTATATAACATTGTTATTGCAAATGGACGTAGTAAGTATGTGATGGAAATTGCTAACCAACTGCCTATATAAGAGTTCATGATCACTACAACGAATATAATTTCTATTATATTTTTATATATTGACGGCCCCGATGGTGTAGCGGTTTAGCACACTGCCTTACTTCCGATTGTTAACGGGGTCGATTCCTTCGACAGTGCAAATATTCATGAGTAAGATTGTTTGTATTTATTTGGGTATATTGTATATAACTTAAGTGTGTATTAAAAAAAATAAGTATTTATATTAATTGTTTAATACCCATAATACAAGCTCTGCTTAGCTTTGGGACTGCATCACACTATGCGGAATGCCTAAAGACATCATTGTTATTATTGTTTTAATGTCCGTGGTAGCACTGAAAGAACATTTATAAATTGAGGATTAAATTGTTTTACCTCCCATTATAATGTCACTGCTATATACTTATATGTATTAGACACCCTGCAAGATCCGTCAACCCTTCAACCCATTTTACAAAGTAAACGGTTAGCGGCAGAGTTACATATGAGTCAGAGTTACCCACAGAGGAGAATTCGTACAAATTATGTAATATTATCTGTGGTACGAAATTACGTTGAAAAGTTTGAAACAACGATTCACAAAATTACAATACTGATGTGTACAAATCACATATTAACATTTAGGCCAGATTCTGACTCAAATGCGACAGATTTATAACAATTCCCTGAAGTTCATTTTTACATAACACAAGCGAGATTTATGACCGTCGCTCGCATTTTAATTTGCTTCTCCTTCTTGATGTTAATATACTTGACAGACAGTTAACAAGTGTCTGCTATAATGAAATAGATAACATCATGTACCCACTTTACGTAGTACCTAGTAATATGTAGTGTTATGAGTGACATTGTGTCCGTAATTTGTTCTACAAATTGAGAAACATTTTTGCATAGTACAAAACAATTTCGCTGCGGATGTCTTTTCGCATATATCTTTTAAAT